GACCTAAAATCGTTCTTCGAGTTAATAGTCTTATATGTACACCGAAACCAAAGCAGTCACCTTTGATCACAGTAGATTAGGCGTGGAAAACAATCCCTTCCAAGCAAAATAACATATTTGCCCACCTACACCACCTTTATCTTATAAGAGTAATTGAACAGTCCCGAAATATAATTTTATGCCATAAAGGCTGTTAATAAGGCACGATACTCCTTGGTGGTGGCGAATTTATACGTTCTAACTTATCGGTTTTATCTCTCTGTCTAATGGAAAGGCCAGAATGAAATATCAGGCCGGATTTTTTTTTGTGTGGCTCGCTACGAGTTTATGCACTTATCAGCGAAAATGCCGAAACGGACGGCGGATGCGGACGGCAGATGGCAGACGGCAGAAAATAATAACAAATAAATAAATGCATAAGATAAATAATATATAGATTTAGCCAGGGCTAAAAGCGAAGCTCTTGTTAATAAAACTTGTAAACAAAAAAAATTAAATCGTCTAATGCTAAACGGGGAGGCCAATGGAAATGGCATCAATAGATCTAATTAGCAAAAAAACAAATTGCACGTGCAGCACACTTTTTTTTCTAATTAGCAAAAAAACAAAATTTGCACGTGCAGCACGCTTTTCGTCCTTCTTTGCCGTTGTTTTGCACAACTACAACGCTGTTTTGTAGGACTAAACGTCAAACTTCCTAGTTGCACATTATTTTTATGGAGGAATTCTTACCCAATATTTTGTCTCCTGTGTTGATGTTCGCTTTTATTTTTCACTGCCGCTCAGTTTCACCTTCCTGGCCACGAGCATTTCTCATTGTCTCACAGCCGCTTTGAATTTTCATGTTTTTCTTCCTACAAAATTCTTCTCTTTTGTTCTCCGAAACTAGCTCTAGCTCAGTTTCTCTGTTATCCACGTGAGTGTAAACATCAAAAATAACGTTGAAAAAGACACGACTTTGTTGTTGTTTTTTCTTTCTAAAAGTCCGGGCGGCCATGCGATTTCTTTCCAAATAAAACCTTGTGTTGCATTTGGGTTGCCAATTATTTTACATTGGTATGTCTGTGGTGCGGACGGACGGTCGGGCGGGCGGTCGGTGTACGGTCACGTGATGACCAAATTTTCTCGGATGGGTAGTTTACTACATTTTTTTACCCATGGTGCTCCGCTGCGCGCTTCGCGCGCGAGAGCTCCGCTATAAAATAAATGAAATAAAAAAATGAAATAAAATAAATTCTGGTTTCAAGCAGTCCATCGTCCCTAACAAAATGACATGGACTCGTAGTGATTCTACTTTTTCCATGAAGAATCCCGGCGATATTGCTAGCTTGCTCAAAGACTACTTCTACTCGGTCGCCAAACCTCCGTGTACCAGCTCCAACTGCGTCGCTAACCTGCAACCCCCGACTTGCTGTGATTTCAAGAACAATACTCTTAGGACAATAAGTGTTATCTCTCTGTCGCCGTCTGAAGTCCACGATGTACCACTATCGCTGGATCCTAACAAAGCAACAGGCCCTGACAAGATTCCTGCCAAGCTGCTGAAGGTTTGCGCGCCGCAAATTTTCCTCTCCTTGTGTGCCCTCTTCAACAAGTGGTTGCAATTGGGAAAAATGTCATCCTCTTGGAAAGAATCTAACATCGTCCCAATATTAAAAGGCGGTACTGCTAAGGAGGTATCGAACTATATACCCATCTCTCTTTTGCCTCTTGTCTCAAAAGTTCTCAAACGTTGCGTGTACAACAGAGTTATCGTCCGCATCTCTCCTCAGCTTCAAAAGTTGCATTTCGGGTTTTTAAAGGGCAAATCCACCACGGCCCAGTTACTTCAAGTCCTTTACAACAGAAGCGAAAAGCTTGATAAGCGAGTAAAGGTTGATGCTATCTATCTTGACTTCGCTAAAGCCTTCGACAGGGTTAACCACGAACTGCTGCTCAAAATGATCCAGCGATTCGGCATCTGCGGTACCATCCTGTCTTGATTCGAAGACTATCTCACTGACCGTGTCCAAAGGGTCACCGTTCTTGGGGTCACTTCTAAATCTCTCCCTGTGTTGTCAGGCTTGCCTCAAGGATCAATACTTGGACCACGCATGTTCCTCATATGTGTAGATGTTCTTTCTGACGTGGCGACCTCAACATCTGTTGCTCCCTTCGCCGACGACACGAAGTGCCACCAGTCAATCAAAAGGATGGAGGATGGTGCCTGCCTACAGCGCGACCTCGACCAGATTAACCAATGGTGTGATCTCTGGCAAATGGATCTTAATCAATCCAAGCGCGGGCTACTTTTTATTACCTTATCAATTATCCGATGTCCAAGTTAAGACAATGGAAGCTCAGGAGGACCTTGTGGTTTTAGTTACAAGACATCTGAAATGGAACTCCCAAGTGCAGGCAGCTTGTTCGAAGGCCAATAGGATGCTTGGCTTTATCCGGAGGTCAGCTTTCGACACTCATGAGCAGCGAGTTTGCAAGTTACTTTATACGTCACTAGTTCGCAGCAAGCTCGCATACTGCTCGCAGGTGTTGGCTCCTCAAGCTGTCAATCTTATCCTTGACATCGAAAGAATTCAAAGGCGTGCTACAAAATTCACTTTGTCTTTGCCGTATCGGTCTGAAGTTAGGTATAAGCAGAGGCTTTTGAAAACTATGCTGCTACCACTAAGTTACTGGCACGAAATTTTAGATATGGTGTACGTTTTTAAATGTTTAGTTAGTCTATCGGATCCTTTTATTTCAGTAATGAATTCTACTAGACTCAGGCGCACTGTCTCCTCTAAAGATACGCTGCTGAATACTGTTAGATCCAACACCGGCACCTTACTGTAGAGCCCCAAGAATCTGGAATACTTTACCAGCCCACCTCTAGAACATTGACTGTTCAGTAGCGCACTTTAAGAAAGAACTAAGTATGTTTATGATGTCGACACCCCCCAGACCTATAAGAGTGTGTGTATTAAGTGCCACACTAGTCGGCCATTGAACAGCTTCCTCGATCGTATGTGTTATTTATTTTTTTATCGATGTTTACCCCAATTCTGTTTTCCATTGCCGGTTTTTGTTGTTTCTACTGTATTGTCATTTTTGTTAGTATTAAAATTACTATCTGGTCCTCGTAGTGGAGCTTGCTCTGTGAGTGATCCAGGAGTCTTGGCGACGTTCATAAATCAATCAATCAATCAATCAATCAATCAATCAATGAATTGAAATTAACAATTAAGAAATTAAAATATTAAAAATATAAATATCAGAGAGGGCAGTTATGTGGCTCGCTCGGATGTCAGTTCCAAGTCTTGACCAGGGAGGGAGATTTGCAGTTTCTGTCCTCTCTTTTGCGTAAGGTCCTTGGCATATTTATCTTATACATTTACTTATTTATGTATTTATTTATTTATCATTTTTCGCCGTCCCCCGTCCGTTTCCGCATTTTACAGAGTCCCTTTTGTTTCCTGCAGCTTTCATTGTCAAACAATTGTTGAAGTTCCGGTTACTTGTAGGATTTAAGGGTGGTGGACGGGTGTAGCCTTTTTTTATGATGTTTTTGTAAGATGGCGCCCTGTTTTAAATCAGGTGTTACGTTAAAGGGGTTAAGGGGAGTGGAGAATACTGCCTCTGCTGTCGCAGATTTGTGTGTGTGTGTGTGATGTTAAGTCAGGAACAGTGCTGTTTATCTCTTCCGGTCGTGTTCTGTATTTTATTGTTCTTTGAAAGCAAGGTATCTGATTTGTAACTGGAAGTATCGTTTAGCTTCTTGATCACGGCGACTTGCACTTCTGTGTATGCAGGTTGCCATGCATGGTGAAAAACACCAGACGGTCCTCTCTGGGGGAAGGTAACTGGCCTTGAACCCAGGATGTATTTCCAGACCTAGTAATTCAAGCAACCATGCACGCGAAAGGATGCTCCAAGCGAAACAGCTGACACTTTTGTAAAGTCACTGGAACTGTTTGAAATGGAGTGAGACCACGTGCCTTTGCATATTATCTTTTCTACTGGATTTGTCGAAAAAGGAACAGGACTAACTTATGTCAACTCGTCAGAAATATAATGTAGACTGCGAAAAAGGTCGAATGTTGCCCATTTACATAGGTTTGGCAAGCCATAAAATGTAATAGACCTTTTTTGACATATAAAAATTCATACTTGGGGGATTAAAACAAAAGAAATGTATTATTCATTATTGAGCCTCAAGATGATTTCTTTTGTTTTATTCCCTCAAGCATCGCAGCCAAGTACAAATTTTTATAATATCGGAATTGGTCTATTTATTCCTTCCTCCTTCTCAATTATATTGTCCCTCCTTCTCCTCATCATTTTTGTTGTTTTCCCTTCCCCTCTTCCACCTCAGTTTTATTGTTTTCCTTCTCCTCCTCCTCCTCCTCCTCATTTCTATTTTGTCCCTCCAAGTTACTACCAGTTAGTTCATTTTGTAGCATTGTCTCATGTAGTGAAGAACAATCCTGGTTTTCTTCAACAATTAGCTGTCTGTCCAGCTCAAGATCCAACGATACAAATGGCAGCAAGAACGTCAAAAAAAAAAACCAAAAACAACAACAACAGGTTTAATGAGCAAAACAACAAAATTGCACGTGCAGCACACTTTTTTTGTACATTTCTTTGCCGTCTTTGCACGACCAAAACGTCAAAATCCCTAATTTCGTGTTTTAAGGACAACGTAAACAAGCAGCGACAAAATCTTATTTCTTTTTCTAAACTTAGATATGGTCCCTTAGGATTTAACTTCAGGAGGGTTCATCTACATTTGAGAAAGTAAATGGGTAGGAATAATCGCGATAAAAACTGAAAAAACGCAAATTCACTTTTTAGGCGACGTTCTCGTTGCCGTCGCTTCGTTGGATCTTAAAGTCCCTAGTCTCTCTTTCGGTTCTCTTACGGACCGCCACTCCACAACATGCATTACTGCAAGTCTTATACAATGTACGTTAGGACGACATTCTCATCCCCGAATAAAATAAGCAGAAATTGTTGTCATGTGAAGATGCTCTACTAAAGCTAGCAGAAACAGTTGTTCATTAAAAACCAAAGAACCGAACCTTGTAGAAGAAGATGATGGTTTTATTCAATACCTATTCGTCAGGATACAAAGCTATATGTTACTAATTCGAGGTCCGCTTTCCATCGGTACAGATCGAGATTTGGTTGATGAGAGTGAAAATGAAGAGAGCGGAAGTTCTCATGATGAAAGCGAAGATGAAGAACCAAGGATTAAAGATGATTTGAGTAACGTGTCCCAAGCGGTGCCTAAAGAGCGTGTTTCTGGTTTGTTGCATAGCATTGTCATTTCCAGAGATATTCTATTCTGGACTCTCCGAGGACAGCTACTTCGAAATAAAAGCATAATTCTCGTGACAAACATCGCAGAGCTAGTTGGGTATGTACTACTACCACATAACGATGACGTGAGCAAACTTGGTTCGTTAAATACATTCCTAGATGGACGTGCGGAGTTAGGAGTCGATAAGGGCTTAATCAAAAGCAACAAGGTGCTAAGTGATTTGGTAAAGAAAAAGACCACCAAAATGGAGAGAATACTTCCGTGAACGAAAGAAGAATAGACAGTTCATAGAGATAGCTTATGCGAATGGCAGTGAAGCAGAAGGCATCCAAGAGAGCGACAACGGCACTGAAAACGACAGTTAGGAAACAGAAAGCAATAACCCTGAAAAGTCGATCCCTTCCACTCTGAAATTCTCTGTGAATATTGTGAGCATTCTAATGTGTATGGGACATTTATCATGAAATGTGTTAAATGCTTTTGGCACGATTCACACAAGGTTTGTCCTACATGTGATCACCAGATCCACGAGGAGAGAAATTACATGAAAGACGGCTTTCTTCGGTGTCACGATCGGGGAGCAATAACACACAAATACGCGAAGACATTGGAAACCACTTTTTATTCCCGTTCTGAAGAGGGGAGCGAAAAGGAGGATTGTTTTTTTTTTATTGTTGTAATGTAGTGAAGATTAGAATAAAGAATTTTCATGTCGGACTAATTTTTGTGTGAGTTGAGTTTCATAGAATTAATTTGGTTGTACCCTCATGACTATGCTCAATTTGCGCGCCAAGAATCAGTGAGCCGGAACTTTAACAATTGTTAGATAATGAAAAGAGCAGGAAGTAAAACGTTTAAAATTACGTTACGACTCAGTGATTTTAGGTGGCTTCATACCCATATAACGGCTGAACACCACCTGATGTTCGAGAAACAACATTTTCCCGCATTTTAAGAAGGTTATTAATTATGTATTTCAACCTACTGAAAACATTCTTTTTAACAAGTACTTGTGTAAACATGATTTTTTTTGTTTTATTTTGTCTCCGCCCACTTACGGTGTCTTTTCAATAGGCCATTTGCATGATGACATCATCTTACTACTACGACCAGAATCCTTCAGGGGTTTGCTTTCTTGTGCAAATTAGACCTTTTGTTATTTAAACCTCGCTGGGATTACCAAATTTGAATATGAAAGGAAAAACGAAAAGGAATCTGGTCGTAGTAGTAAAATGACGCCATCGTGCAAATGGCCTATTTAATCCAACAACAGTTTGCGGCGTATTTTATTCATGAGCCATTTATTATTTTTTTGCTGCCCATTTTTGCTTTCCTCGAAAACTGCTAATTCTGACCATATACTACTTCTACATCTAATGATTTGACCGATTTTGTTGAGTTGTTAATCCCTGCTTTTCGAAGAGATCATGATGCTATCACTTTTGAACTTGGACAGTTAGAGAACGAACTGAAAGGCCAGGGAATTGGAAAATGAACTGATCACTGTTGGATAGAATAAACCAGGATGATTCTCTTTTGGAAAGCGAAAAGTCAGAAAAAATTAACTAATTATTGAATGATATGGGATTGGATTAAATATAACATAAGAGCTCGTGCTATTCAATAATCTAAAAGAGAGGCAAAAGAAAGGAAAAAGAAAAAAAAGAACTTGAATCCCTAAAGAATTAACCCTCAGATGTACAAGCAAATTCATACCCCCACCGTGGTACAAGGGGGAGAAGAGGTGGGGGGGGGTGAATGGAACCCCACCCCGGATTTTTGATATGTTGCAGTATTTTGAAACGATTTTACCTTTAGTGGAAAGCCTTTGATCTTCTTACCAAGATGAGGTATATTTTATGGGTGGTGGCGCTGCTGGAGGCCCGTGACGTCACCAAGAATGGTCGCCATCTTGGCAGCCATCTTGGATTTTACCAAGAATTGGAAATCAGGTTAAAACCGTGAAAAATGGTAATTTTTTGTGCTTTACATGAAAAATAACACATAAATAAACACTTTGCATGATTTTAGCCACAAGATTTACTTTTCTTTTTGAAAGAAGTTGAAAAAACACTTATTTTCACTCCAAATTGGCTTGACCACCTGCTACTTATAACGTCATATCTCGTAACCATAACAACTGACCACCACTAAACTCATCTCAAAATCCGTGCAAGTGATGAACGAATAGCTACTGAAAAAGTCAGGTGCTGATGTTTTATCCTCTGGGTAAAAACTCAGAAAAACCTTATGGGGGGTTGGCATCTACCCCTCCCTTGTACGTCCGAAGGTTAGCAAAACAAAGACTAAACAAACCGCCGCCCGATTAACTAAGTTGGATAAGCTCTGGTTTGTCGAGCGGGACGCTGTTTGTTCAAGCCCCGGCCGGACCAACACTCAGGGTCTCTAACGAACTGAGGAGAACGTGCTGCCTTTATAAAGACATCTGCAAACGGTCAGACTTTCTAGTCTTCTCGGATAAGGACTATATATACATATATACATTCTGTGGGATGTCAACTCCATTCACACCGGGCCTTATTTTTTATTTTTTCCTTTTTTGTTTGTTTGTTTGTTTGTTTGTTTTTTTGCTTCCTGCCACCAGGGAGGCCTCGGAGGCCTCCCCTCTAGAATTTCAAAACCGCTCATTCTACGGCCACTAAAACTACACACAATAATATATTATTTCCAACTTGGCATAACTTGATTGACGCAATGACGTAATCTGACGTCATTATGACATCATATTGCAAAATACATTGGTAGAATCCAAATTTCCATCAAGGGAAACAAAAAACGAAGAATTCTTAAATAGTAAGATCTCTGATAAAATCAAGGAAGTTTGCTAACACATAAATTATCTCTAACAATAGAACTGATGTCATAATGACGCCATTTATTACTAACGAAGGAACTGGAAGAATCCGCCATTTGAATTATTTAAATATATTCCATTTTTCCATTTTATTCGGATAAATCGAGGTATCTTTAAACACACTTTGTCACTTTCCATGGCGTATTGCGGACGATTAAGAATTTTCGTGGTCCACGAATTGACTTTATAATAATAACAATAGTAAAGTTTTCATGAGCGCATTCAAAAAA